CCCTTGCCATTGAACTGTAGGAGGTTGAGCAGCTTAAACTTTGGAGGATAAGGAACGTAGTTCCATTCGGTAGGGTATGGTCTGATGACCCCTAGCTTGTTCATATTTTTCTGGAGCTTTAAGGCGTCAAGTTGACTTTGGAACTCATCAAGCCTTTTATCTCAGGGGTTGCTACCAGAATGTGATGCCACTTCTGAAGATTAAGATGACAAATCAGAGGATGACTCAGGATTTTCTTCTCCTTCTGTTATTTGTGGAGGAGTAGGTTCCCGTTTTTTGCTCTTGATTGAGGATTTCGGGGGAGCCCGCGATGTCCTCTTTTTCTTTTTCTTGTTCAGGAGTTTTTCTAACATCTCCTTCATGGTGTTGATTGTTCCTTGCTACATGTCAATTGCAGCTTGGTGCTCTTCTAGCTTTCTGGCTATATCATCAGAGATTTTAGCCATGTGCACCTTAGCATGCTTGCCTTGCATTGAGCTTGAGGCCTAAAATGTTGCTAATGCCGAGCAATCATCATCCTCATCATCAGAAACGGAGGCTAACTGCCTATAATCAAGCAGCATGACAACCCCCTTTTGGTTCGGGTATGCTGGTATACACCATCAGACTTAATGGAGAGGCTTTTCAATCCCGGCAAAAATTCAGCGTCAGAAGAGTCTGAATTCTTTGCCTTGGACTTCCCTATCATGTTGATAGTTGTAGCTGGGAGATCCAAGTCATTAGAAGCTCGTCTCCTCTGATGTTACATCTTCGGCAAGGAGGCCTTGTCTCTGCTAGTTGTTGAGAGAGCCTCTCGAACACTGATGGGTTTGGCATTCCAGCACACCGGCAGTCCGCGAGCACTACTGTAATGAGCCTCTCACAGTGGTACTAAGGAGTTGCCTCGTGAATAGTGAGTTTGTGAATCAAGCGCTCTCTAGGATCCCTTGTAGGTTGATGACAACATATAGTGTCAGAAGGATCAAATGAATGATTGTGCAAATATGGTTCAGGAGAACATTTGAAAGAACACTCGGAAACTTTTCTAAGTGTTGATTTCCGACGAGCTCACCTTGACAGGTGAGGTTGCCTCATCTGTCTGGGTTCGCCTGTCTAGCGAACTCGAGTGTGTTAGTGAGGTTCAGCCTCCTGCTCTTTTAGGCGAGGTTCGCTTGTTTGGCGAACTTGGTAAAGTGCGCCTGTCGAGCGAATTGCTGCTTTACCTTTCTAATGAAGCTCAGTTTGCAGGCGAGGTTTAGCCTCCTGCTCTTTCAGGTGAGGTTCACCTGTTTGGTGAACTTGGTAAAGTGTGCTTGTCGGGCGAACTGCAGCTTTACCTTTCTGGCGAAGCTCAGTTTGCAGGCGAGGTTTAGCCTCCTGCTCTTTTAGGCGAGGTTTGCCTACTTGAGCTCGTGGGCGAGGTTTGCCTATTTGGTGAACTATCGCTTTACCTCTCTAGCGACGGCTCGCTTGCATGCAAGGTTAAGTAGTCAGGCGAGCCTTGTGAGGTTTGCCTTCATAATGACCTTTACCTGTAATATGAAGTTTGTCTGATGTGCTTACTTCGCCAGATTTGCGAAGTTCGCCAGTATTAGGAACTTGAAAGCGAACCCCGCTTGAATTGCTGGGTTCGCTAGATTTGGGCAGTTCACGAGGTTTGAGAACTTCGCCAGTAAAGCAAAGTTCGCCTGAACCACTGAGTTTGCCAGTTCTAGGAACTTGGTGTAGTTCGCCAGAAGTGAGAACTTTGTGTTCATTGTTGGCTCTTTTCAGGCCTGAATAGTAATTCAGGCCATCATAGGAGATGAGGGCACGTGCCTCATGGCAAGCAAGAGCTTGTCATCGCTGTTGCTTAGCCCTCTTCGAGAGAGGAGGGTTCATATCGACGGTGATTGCATGATTCGTGCCAACACGAACTTTGGTCTCCTTAGAGGCAGGAGTTTGCGCGGGTTTCTTGACAACCCATCGAGCAACCCCCTAGCTTGCATTCTTGGCCTTTTGACTAGCCTCATCACTCTTAGGAGGGATGGAACCCCTAGTGTTTGCTCGGGTAGAGCTTTTAGGCACGCTAGCCTTAGCTTGCTAGGGCTGATTCACGCGCAAGACTTTGCGATACTTAAGCGATGTTGTGCTACCAGAAGAAGCCAAAGATAGGTACTCTTCATACTTAGCTTGATCAAACTCAATGACGAGGGACTCAACGGCAGTCCCTACAACAACCTCGTCGAACTGCGCTACCACCATCTCGTTAGAAAAATAGTTTCTCCCACTATGGTCGCCATCTTCTGTTAGTCGTAAAATTGATCTCAAAGATTTGTATTAATTGAATTGTTTGTTACAAATCAAAAATCACTTTTACACAGAAGCGAAGAGAATTGATTCGATCTCTTCTTGTTTAACGTGGGTTCTTTAGGGCGATAGGAAGCTTCCCTCGATGCTCGTGTCAAGTTTGCTTCCATTTAATAATTTGAATGAGGTTGCAGACAAACTTTAGCATGTGGTAGAAGTCTTGCCTCTTGAGTTCGAGTGCAAGCTAAGATGCTTGAAAGGCCGAACAAGTGCTTGATTGCTTGTAAGCCGAATATGCCAAGATCTCAAAGTTCGGTCCTCTTTCCTGAGGATTCGAATGAGACTGTAAATAAGCTTCGTCACGTGGTAGAAGCTCTATTGGAGTTTAGAATACCCAAGCAAGAATGGTTGGAGATTAGAAGTCGAATGCCCAAGAATGCTTGGATCGGTTCTCCCCTATGCCAAAAGGTTCCGATCCCCCTTTTCTTGTAGCCATCAGTGGCTATTTATAACGAGAAATGACATGTAACCACTCCCTCAAACATGGGGAAGTGGTTGTAACCGCATCCACAAAAGTGGCTTTAGTGATTGACTTGGTCAAGCTGTACAGGCAAGCTTGACTATTCAGGCGAGCCCCATGACCATTCAGGCAAGCCTGGCGAACTTGCAGGTGAGGTTGGCGAGGTTGGCGAGCTTGCAGGTGAGTTTGACGAGCTTGGCGAGTAGACGAGCTTTCAGGCGAGGTTGGCAAGCTTGCATGCGAGCCACAATAAGTTCAGATGAGCTAAGTTGTTAGATGAACTTAGCATAGTACGTGAGCTTCAGGTGAGCTTGCAGGCAAGCTAGGTGAATAGGCGAGGTTGATAGGCGAACCCCTTAAGCGTTCAAGCGAGCTTAAACCCTGTTAGAGAGCTTGGATCGTATGGGCAAACCTCCTGCAGGCGAGCTTGACTCGTGCGGGTGAGCGAAGCATTCAGGTGAGCTTAGCTAACTTGCGAGCTGGCGAACTAGCATTCAGGCGAGCTTAGTTCTCTCTAGGCGAAGTCCAATGCGTAGGCAAACTTCGCTTCGCTTGCGAAGTCAAGAATTCAGACGAGCTTGACTTAGCCTATTTGATGCAGGCGAACAAGCAGGACGAGCTTTGCTCCTGCGAGCTTGGATGCTCAGGCGAAGTTCAGGCGTCTAGGAACATAACTTGCTGTGAAGAACAGATCATAACTTTCAAACCGTAAATCAGAATTAGACGAATTATATATGAAAATCGATTATCTCGACGAGACGGGGCCGACCACCAAGCCAACTAAAGTTTGGTTTGCCGCCATCGGTTTCTCCAAATTCCGTTCGGTTTGAGAGATATCAGTGTTTTTGTCCGTTTTTACTATTTTTTGTAGTGTTCTTGCAGGCGAACTTATAAATTTCTTTGTTAGGGATAAAGACAATTTTATCTGCCTACAATGATGCTCTGAGATCTTTTTCGTAGTACATGTTTGTACCAAAATGATTAAATTTATTCTAAATATTACTGTTTATTAAAAAAAAGGCAACAAATCTTTTTTTTTGTCAAGAGTTTACTCTTACCAAATATGTAAAATGCTTGAAAATAAAATAGTACAAACTATCAATAAAAACAAATATGTAAAATGCTTGAAAATAAAATAGTACAAACTATCAATAAAAACAAACATATTTCATCACGTAGAATTTTAACATAAAATATATAATATTTCTGTTAAATACCTCCATGATAGTAGATAAATAGATAGATATTTAACAGAACATCTAATACCATTTCTGTAACAAATGAAGAGACAATAAATATTTACACCAACTCACTAGTAGAAAATCGTGTATCCTAGACGGAATATTCTAAACGAAAAATTTTCCGTCTAGTTTGAATTAAACTAGACGAAAAATTTTCGTCTAGAATATTCCATCTAGGATAAAATATCCTAGACGGAAATTTCCGTCTAGAATACTATCCTAGACGGTTTTTATATTTTTTTAATTTTTTTTAATATGACTAGGTATCCTAGACGGAATTTTTCGTCTAGGATACATTCTAGACGGAAATTTCCGTCTAGAATGTTTTGGACTTCATATAAAAAAAAGTAAACAGCAAATTTTCCCCAAAATTGAAATCCCCCCCCACCCAAGATTTTCACAACCCACGACCCATCTCTCTCTTAATCTCTTATCAATCCGCACCCACAGCCCATCCCTCTCTCCTCTTTGTTCTCTCTCTCCTCCCTTCACCCAAAAATCCCCAGATCCTCAGCCCTTCACCCCCTTCCTCCTCATCACCTTCACCATCCGCCACCAGCTCTCCCGCTCAACCCTCCTCCCATAGCCCTCTTCCACGACCAGCCACACCACCGCCTCGCTCACCCTCCAACCGCCTCTCCTCCTTTCGCCGCCGCTCCTCCCACCGCGCTCAACCCCTCCGACCAGGCGAAACGCCGCCACGCCCCTTCACCTCCTTCTCCTCCTCAATCGTCGCCACCTCTAGCTCCACCGCCCTCACTCCTCAGGCACCGCGCCATCAGCCAGATCCATCTCTGCCTCCTTCTCACCGCCGCTCCAGCCTTCCCTGCAGCCGCCATCGCCGCCTCCTGTCCTCTCCCCTTCCCCTCCTCCAGCAGGCATCGCCACCACCAAACAGCACCGCCGATGCCGCACTTTCCCCAGCTTCAGCCGCCGTCGCTTTCCCATCATCCTTCAGCTGCTCCACCATGCCCCCTTTCATCAGCTCAGCTATGTCTGAACATCTCTTTGGATTTTTACAGGGTAGTTGGAAGATCAATTGCTAAGGAACTTGTATTTACTGGTCGGAGAGTTGATGGCAAGGAAGCTTAGGGTAGTTGGAAGATCAATTGCTAAGGAACTTGTATTTACTGGTCGGAGAGTTGATGGCAAGGAAGCTTTATCCATGGGTACATCTTGTGATGAAGGAACTTGTATTTACTGGTCGGAGAGTTGATGGCAAGGAAGCTTTATCCATGGGTACATCTTGTGATGGGAAATTCCTTTTTAGCAAGCATGCTAGCTTATCTGCAACTCTTATCACTTGTGTCATTCATATGGTGATCTTTTTCACATACGGGACTTGTCAATTATTGTGTTTCTTTTGGCAAGGCATACTTAAAAGCTCTTCAAATTGCCCGAGATATAAACCAAAAGTAGAAATGTCATCAGCACTTGCTGTGGAAGAAGAATGTTATGTGCAGCTTCTCAACACCGAGGATCGTCTTGAGGGTTTAGCTGCATTTGCAGAGAAGAGAAAACCAAGATATGCTGGAAAAAAGGGCCTAAGAAGCATCGCCATTTATCTCATATTGACAGAAGATGAATATGGGATACATTCAGCAGGTCAATACCTTGAATTGGCTGATTATGTTGTAATAAATCATATTTCTGTCTTTTTACTAGAAAATTATTGTGTTCATTGAGTGTTCTGTGTAGCACTATGTTCATTGAGTGTTCTGTGTAGCTCTATGTTCATATATATAATTCAAATGCATTTTGTTTCTTTTTTGTGAAAATTGAACACTAAAACAGTGAATCTGCAATCAAGGAAGATGAACCAAACTAGATTTTGCAAAAAAAAAAACTGTAGCTTAGTATCCTAGACGGAAATTCCGTCTAGGATGCTCAAATTCCATCTAGGATGCCTTTTAAAAAAAATTAAAAAAAATCTAAACACATCAATTTCCGTCTAGAATGAGTATTCTAGACGGAAATTTCCGTCTAGAATGCTCATTCTAGACGAAAATTTTTTCCGTCTAGGATGAATTATTCTAGACGGAAATTCTGTCCAGAATAATCTGTCTATGTTGTATTCTAGACGGTTTTTAATTCCGTCTAGAATATTCCGTCTAGGATATATTCTAGACGGAATTTCCATCTAGAATACTACATCCTAGACGGAAACATCCTAGACGGGTATTCTAGACGGAATTCCGTCTAGGATACGCATCCTAGACGGAATTCTGTGTATCCTAGACGGAATTTTCCGTCTAGGATGCCTAATTTTTTAGCAGTGACTCATATCAAGCTAAAATCAGGAAAGACATGGATTTGAAAAGAAATTTAGAAATAAAAAAAATAAGAATGAAGGAAAAAAATAGCAGTCATAATAGTGCTCACCAAAATCAATATATATTTAATCATCCTCTCTGATTTGTCCAAGTTCATTTCATATCCTAGGCGCTTTCTCTAAATCCATCACTCCTGCAAGAACTGAATTTGCAAATGAAACAATTTCAAGCAAAAATAAAATAAACCAAATAATAAATAATAATAAGGACAACCTAGTAATTTGTAGAATCAGAAGGGCGGCAAAAAAGAAGGGATAAATTGCAAAAGTTAAGAACATAATTACTAACAGGAAACGTTGAAGGGGCGGGGAAGATGCCAGCATTGAATAGGGTGATTAATACTTTATGTGAAAATTTTCTTTTTCTTCAACAGTTATATATTAAAAAAAAGAGCAAGAGTCAGAGACAGAAAAGAAATTGGAGGGAACGCATGTTGAAAGAAGCAAGGAGTCAGTCATGAGACTCATGACTCATGTGTAAAATATTTCGAAGAAGCAAAGTCTAAGAAGACAACTTCCGAATATAATTAATAAGCGATTAAAGAGTTGGTACATAACAAAAAATAAGCTAAAATCAATAAAAAGAATAGTAATAAGAAAGATGAAGAGTCAAATGAACAAAAAGTGCCACGTGGCAACATAGGGCCTTGCATAGTATACTAGTATAGTGCACGTACGTTTGCATGTGTATGCATTTGTCTTATGTTCTAAATTTTTAAAATAATTTTACTATATAATTTATGGAAAAGTTTGATTTTGGACATAATCATAGAAAACCTTAAGGACATATTTTATGGTTTCTCACCATTAAAATCCTAGACTGAATATAATTTTTTGTGAGGTTTATTTCTAAAATTTATAAGGATTAATCTGCAGTTTGTAAAGTTTTAGGATTTTTCTGTAGATTCATGAAATTTTGGAGTTTTTCAAAACTTTATGAATTTACCTCATTTAATATAACATTTTATGAAGCCGAAGGGTTGGAGATGTTAATTTAAGATTGATAAGGATATTAATAAGATTAGCGGTGAAGTTATAATGGTGATTATACGAGAGAAATTAAATTGGATACATTTCTATGCTATATAAACAACTGTAGACACATAGAAAATTTCACGTCTCAACAAGCCACAAGCTTAATTAAGTAAAAGAGCTTAATACATTTGAATAAGATTTGAAATTAAAATCAACTTTAGGATATATATATCTCATATATTAAACTGTAAAAGTTAAGTTGAGGGCAACCCCTCCATATTTATTAGCTCATAGAGGCAATGCCTTCCCCCATATATTTTGTCAAACTTGATGAACTCAACAAGTCTTATCAATAAAACCTATTGTGAGGATGACAATATCTCATATAAATCAAAATCAATGTGAGGATGACATAACACATCATATAAATTAATTTGATGATTAAATTTGAGGGTACATGCATTACTAACTCTACACAAAAACACACATCTCACCCCTCATATAAACTAAATTCTCTAACTTGAGGATGCATGTCATTAATATTAGCAATAGAACTTTAGCTCGATGATGCTCACCCTCATATACCAATCAAATTTTAACTTGAGTGTAAATTGACTCTGATTACACTTATTCCAAGAAAACACAAAAGATAAGTGTGATAAGCATGTGAGAAGTGAAAGGTAAAGAAGATAATCGTTGTGATAAACGAATAATAAAATCTGGTAAGGGGTCTGTACGTACATGATTTTCTTTAAAAAAAAATATTATGCTATGAGTTAAATTTTGTATTTTTTGTGCCTAATCATGCTAGTTATATATTTTTAATCGTTGAATACTTTTTGCAGTTACTGATAACTATTTAGAATATGATATAATTTTTAATAAATAAATAAACAAATGAATTGCCTCATCATCTTCAGTATCTTCACTTTCTACTTTCCAACAATAATTTACTTGTGTAAACAAACACTGTATTTCACTTACATGATGACACGGATACATTTTTTTACTTGCGAAAAAAATAACTTTCACATCTTTAATTCACGTTCAATTTGCCAAACATCCCCTTAACATCTGTTTATATAAGAACTTTAGCGCGGTTTCTCATAAAGTTCCAAATAGAGCTGGCGCGTGCATTGCACGTGCCCTCCTCACTAGTCTTCTGAAATAATCCTACTGCTGCTGTATTATTTAAATAATTAATAACCAACTTGAGCTTTTCTATTGAAAGCTTGAGCCCGCCTAAGGGCATATCCAACCCTTTGCCTCAAAATGGTGCAAATTTTGCACCAAAATGGTGCAAAAGTCACATCTAACAGTAATTCATCTCCAACCCATTGCACCATTTTTTGCACCAAAAAGGAATATTCTCAGTATCTTTCTTTTTATCTACTTTTATATAATTATTTTTTATTCCCTATATTTTTAACTATTTCAACAATTAACCCCACATATCAAATTTTATTTTTTCACATATTTTCCAAACAAAATGATTTATTATTTAAAAATTAAACTAATAAAACAATAAAATATTATTTTATTAATTAAAATAACTTGATTGCTAAAATATTATATTTTTATTATTGATATTGCCAAAATATTACATTCAAGAACACAACAGGAAATAAAATACAAGGAAATAATTAAACATTAACAACAATGTAAAAATTACAAATTTAGTATGCACTTAACTATCTGAATTAGTGTATTCCTCCCATAGATGATCTATCAATGCATTACGCAGCGCAATATGGGCATCTTTATCCTTGATTTTTCCGTAACGTGCAATAAATTGAGTAAATCTTGTAGTTTCATCTGCTACCATATCAACTTCTGGTGTTGGTGCTTCCCTCACTTCTTGAATTGGTGCATAAAGATCACGTTCATCCTCGATTATCATATTGTGCATAATAATGCATGCAGTCATTATGTCATGTAATACATGTTTTTTCCAAAAACGTGCTGATCCTGCCACGATTGCAAATCGTGATTGGAGAACTCCGAACGCACGTTCTACATCTTTTCTACATGCTTCCTGTTTCATGGCAAAATATTTTTTCTTCCTACCTTGTGGCTGTTGGATTGTTTGTACAATAGTAGCCCATTTCGGATATATACCATCAGCTAAATAATAACCCATATTATACTCTTTTCCTTGAATAACATAGTGAGCGGGAGGAGCAATACCTTGAGCTAGGTTAGAGAAAAGATTAGATGACTCCAGCACATTGATATCATTATTGGTGCCTGGCATACCAAAATATGCGTGCCATATCCAAAGATCATAATCTGCCACAGCTTCGAGGATAATAGTTGGTGACCCACTACGTCCTGTGTATTGCCCAGACCATGCTGTTGGACAATTTTTCCATTTCCAATGCATACAATCAAGACTTCCTAACATTCCTGGAAAACCACGTTTTTTTCCAATATAGAGTAGCCTAGCAATATCGTTAGCGTTAGGTGTTCGTAGATACCGCTCTGCGAATATTTCCACCATAGCACGACAAAATTTTGTCATACTTTCAATTGCTGTTGACTCACCTATTTTAACGTATTCGTCCGTAGCATCAGCTGGTAGACCGTATGCCAACATGCGAAAAACAGCTGTTACTTTCTGTAACGGTGATAATCCCATTCTACCAAGTCCATCACTTCGTTGTTGGAAGTAATAGTCATGATCTTTCACTGCATCAACAATACGAAGGAACAAACTTCTTGACATCCGATATCGACGACGAAACATATCTTCTCCAAAACGTGGATTATCGGCAAAGTAATCTATGACCAAATTCTGATGCGCATTTTCTCGATCGCGGTTGATCACTGCATGACCAGGAATCGAGCCACCATGGATCGGTTGGTAGTTGTGTTGACGTAAATTGTTAACGAGGATCATGTTGTTGTTGATGTACTCACAAATTACTTCTTCGGTTTCATCAATCTCTGCAATGATATTGGACAGAAAATTATCATCATCCGAAGATGAAGATGATGATAAGTATGATGGACCTCCAACATCGAAATTCATTTTTGAAGTAAGAAAAGAATGACTGAAGTATGCAGAAATGGAGAATAATAATTTTAACACAACAACGAGTAATTGTGTGGATGTACCTAATCTAGTATGCTATTTATAAAACTTTGCTTAGCTGTATACATTGAACAATGTGTAAAGTTGAGCTGATTTTAGGAAATGCTTTCCAGCTGTTATCAATTTGTCACAAAATTCAAATTTGCTTAGTTGTATACGTTGGACAATGTGTAAAGCTGACCTGATTTCAAAAAATGATTCCCACTCGTACAAAGCTTTCACACAATTCAAGAAAAGCTGAGCTGTGTATACGTTGGACAATGTGTAAAGCTGACCTGATTTCAAAAATTGATTCCCACTCGTACAAAGCAATTTCAAAAATTGATTCCCACCGACAACGTTGGATAATGTGTAAAGCTGACCT